GTATTTTTGCAGGGTACCCTGGCAGTCAACTAGCAAACACAGCAAAAAGCTTGGGAGAGGGGTTAAGTGCAAACTTGGGCAAAGACAGTACAGCACAGTCATTCCTTTAAAAATACTCAGGGATCTTTAATGCTAGCACATGAGGCCAAACCTCGGCAAGCACAGTGTGGATCATTAAAAAAAAAAAAAAAAAAAAAGTCCTAAGGAAATTAATTCAGGATCTCCACATAAAATAACTGCCTAAATTGAGGTTTTACAAGTCAACCTTGGCTCTTGATACCAGTCAGGCAACACTGTTTTCCACTGAGGTCCTCAGGGAACTGGAACAAACCCATTGACTCTTCTAGATTTGTACAGCTGTTGATGAGAATTTAGGGGAGCAGGAACAATTAACACATTCCCCTCTTTCTTGGATACATCACCTTTATGGGATTGTTTTCCCTTTTCTTTTTTTCACCTGCTTGCAGACTACATCTGAGGAGCAGACCCCTTTCACAGTCACTTTTCCAAGTACAGAAAATACTAATATATTTCATTATTATTTTAAATTAATTCTTATAATGACAAATACAGCACAACTTTGAGATAGGTGAAAGTAGAACAAGTCACCTGTGACTGATGACAAACATCCCTTAATACACTCACAGCCACCGGTGTGGTGGCTGCAATGAAAGAACCTGACCTGAATAACACAACAGTGCCCATGAGACAGAGTTCTCGGCTTGCACAGAGCAAAATGAGCAGGACTCAGCCTAAGTCAGAAGAACGATGGAACAAATTGACTGATGGAGACTTGAAACTGCAGCACAAGAACTTCGGTATTACCAGTTCAGTGCTTAAGCCACTGAGGAATGCCCTTCAGAGCTAACTGTTTATATATAATATAAATAGTATAAACAGCTAAGTGCTGGAGGGCATAACATACATATAGATGTATGTATAAAACAAAGACAGAATATTTTATCTGTTCCACTCTGCACCATGAAAAGTAACACCACCGTATAAATAAACAAATGTCAGCTCTTGGAAAATGCAGGGAGGCAGAAAGCAAAAAAGCTTCCCTAGCCATGTCCTGAACAATAAATTTTTCCTTCACACACACCCACATCCACTGGTCCAGCTAAAAAATCTGATCCCCAATCTCCAATTAGTAAATGCTGCTGCCAAAGATACTTTCTCAAAAAGCAAAGTAGCACTGTCAAATTAAGCCCAAACCAAGCCCTGCTAAAAACTCTCTCTTCTGCCAGTTTTAAACTCTCCACTGGGAAAAGATAATTATCAAATAATAGTATCAACAATGTCAGATAATCACTTTAAGCTCTTTGATATGTTCAAGTGTACGTTGTTTCAAATGTTACTGAATGTCAAATATTTACTCTTGAGTCCAACTGTGTAAATGACCCATCCAATGCCACTAAAAATTGCAGGCACACATGTAACAAGAGCAGTGGGACCTGCAAAGCAAAAGAAACAGCCCTGGGTTTTGCAAAGAGTGTCCTGATAGCCAGAATGCCCCAATGAGAGTTATGACTGCCTTTGCACTTATCTGCGTGGAGGTGTGGGGTTTTTTACGTGGTGGACTTAGACCAAGGCAGGTGGAACTTTACATTCACCTTGGAGTCAGAAAGGTGTCCGGTCTCACATGCTCAATGTGAGACTCACACCAACACTCCTGTCTTTATGTTTCCTTGTGCCAAAGCTGTACCTGCCACAACTGGAGCTCAGAGCTGCCCCTTGTTGTGGGACCCTGTGCACGTCAGATGTGCTCTGAGGAAAAAATCTGGAATTAGAGGAATAGTGTGTATAAGCTTCCACTGGATTTCCTCTTGGGAAACACCCCACAGAGGATGAATTCTGCTTAGAGATTGTTCTCTTGCCACCCATTTATAATGCACAGGGCAACAGGCTTAGTCTGCCTTGTCCTTCCTCTTCAAGTACCATTGGAATAACAGGCAGAGCAAATTCCTTCTCCAGCTGTGGCTGAAGGAAAAGCAAGACCCTATTATTTCTTGGTCCACTCCTGCCCTCTGAGTTTTCAAGAACAGGAGCACAATGCTGTACTACCTGATATATGACCCTCAGCCACTTGAATTCATCCCACTTAGACACGTGCATTTTGCATTTCCTTTTTAATATTTGCAACAATGTTCTAAGAAGCTCTTGGTAAGGGGAACATGTATTTCCATGACACAAAGACGTGACTTTGAACTGCTGCCTTTCTCTGTTTCTTAATTAGGCAGTCTGACCACAGCACCAAATGAGGAATTCCTGTGTCAAGCACAGAGTGGGAGGATCAGCGATGTGCAGTGATATCATTACAACAGTGCTGCTTCATGAGCCAGCGTTTCTTCAGTGTCGGAACACAGTTCAGGGCCCCAAACGTCATGCTCACTGAAGTCACACACCTTGTCAGCAGGATTACTGACCGCTAGCATGCAAAAACAATGGGGACTTGGTCAGACCTTTCGCTTGTCAAGGACACCTGTGTGTGGAGTTTTCTGGGACGTAACGCAACATGCAAGGTGGAGCGAGGGCCGTGCACAGCATCTCCAGCAAGGAGCAGGTTAACAGTTATTAGTGGTATTTCAGAAACAAGCACAATCTCTCTGCACTTAGGACATGAAAATCTTTCAATATTTTCTTTGGAGGCTTTTCATTTAGCATTTTCAAACAGCTGTCTCCAGATATTTCATAATAATAGTAACAACTAGTAAAAAAAATTTGAAAACAAAACAACAACAACAAAAAACCTACATAGGCCTGTCCCCTGATTCCAGAAAGTGACTTTTTCTGGGACATACATTATTAGGCAAAAGTTGTTTGTGGTTTTTTTTCCCATAAAGCAAGTGCAAAGCACTACATTAATACACACTGGAAAAATAAGATAATGGCTTTCTTGATTGTGAGGAGGAATGTGGGAGATTTAATCTGAACATTGAGTCAGGTCGAAGCGCCTAAACTCCCCTCGGACACAATGTTATCGCATTTAACGCTTACATCATCACCCTCACAAATGATGCTGAGTAACGCAGCCCCAAACGTCGATCCACGCACCGCAGCGAACTCCCGGGTAAGAAGGGAGAAACGACCACAAAGGTACCGTCTTAGCATACGTCAGGCACTAAGAAAGATAAGTTTGATGTCTGGAGCAGAGGGAGCGATCTATTTTCAGCTGTTCGAATAGCAGCCACGGGCCTATCAGGACGCAGTCATTCCTCTCTCAATGTTTCGCATGTGTGCCGAGAATTAGAGGGAGGCAGCGCAGCGCAGCGCAGCATACGCCTTCAAAAGCGTGGGGCGCTGACTGCTCGTAATAAGTAAGAGGAGACACGGCTTCGCCTCCTTGACATGTTCGGAGCAATTTCCAATTGAAAAAGGTCAACGTATCATTTACAAAGCGGCAGTGCCTGGAAAACTCTCGTAACTCTGCTCCGCGAAACACACTGGGTGACAATAACAACCCGAACATCGCTGGTGACGCCGGAGCTCGGAGCTGACCTGCAGGGCTCTCGGCACTGACCACTGCCCCGGGCCGAGTCGCTATCCGAGTTCGAGGGGCCCGGCCGCGAACTGAGCGAAAATAGATGCCTGAAACCTCTGATGAACGGGATGAAGAGGGGCAGCGGGGGGGCAACTCTCAACACGGGCGATACTTTAGCGCTACTTTTCACCCCTGCCCAGGGACGCGCGGAGAGCGCCGGCCGCCGGTGCCCTCCTCAGGGATGCAGCTGTCACCGCCTTGGCAGGGCGATGGCAGAGGCTTTTAGGACCACAACACGATTTAAGAAACAAACAAACTAACAAAAAACAACCAAACGGAAAACACCCCAAGCAATCCCAAAATCCCTTCGAGGCGCACACTCGCCCCCCGCTCGGCGCCGGGGCAGACCTGCCCAGCGCTCCTCGCACCCTCCACGCCGTGGCGGGGGTCCAGCGCCCGGCAAGGGACCACCTCAGGGTGCGGGAGGCCCGGCGTGCCGAGCCGGGCTGCCCGCGGACGCGGTGCCGGTGCGCGGCGCTGGCCCCGCACGGCGCTGGCCCCGCACGGCGCTGGCCCCGCACGGCGCTGGCCCCGCACGGCGCTGGCCCCGCACGGCGGGGCGGTGCGGGCAGGGCGGGCGCCCCGGGGGAGCGAGCGGGGGTCCCCGGCGCGGCGCCCCTCCCCGCCGGCAGCGGGCGCTGTGACTCACCGCCAGGAGCGCCGAGGCGCGCTGCTCCCCCGCCGGCTGCTCCCCGTTGATGCCGCCGTTGCCGAGGAGGTGCTGGTGGTAGTCCGGGGGCGCCGCGCCGGCGGCGGCGGAGGGGGCGGCGGCGGCGGCCGCCTTGGGGTGCTTGCCGGCCTTGCGGGCGCCCTGGCCCTGCTGCACGAGGTGCAGGAGCTGCAAGGTGCTCTCCCGCTCGCGGTCGGAGCTCTCGGCGCGGCCCCGCTCGTAGCGCCCCTCGCAGCTGAGGTGGTGCTGGCGGCAGACGGCGATGCGGGCCCGCAGCCGCTCCACGATGGCGCTGTGCACCCGGGGCGCCGCCGGGCCCCCCCCCAGCAGCCCGGCCCCCAGCCCCGCGGCCTGGGGGGGAGCCGTGTCGCCCATCGCTGGCTGCCGGTCCTGGCCCTCCGGATGGGTCGGTCCTCACTGCCGCATGGAGGAGGGCGGGGGTGGCGGGGAGAGGCGGGGGCAGCGGCGGGAGCCCGAGCCCGGGGGCTGGCGGCGGGGCGGAGGGCGGTCAGCCCCGCGCCCCAGCCCACCCCGCCCGGCCCCAGGCGGTGACGGCCCGCAGGGGTTGACAGATCGGGGGCGGGGGTCGCTAGGGCTGCGCCAGCATCGGCCGGCAGGAGGGGCGGGGGTCGGGGCCAGGCAGCCCCGCCAAGGGGCGCCCGGGGAGGGGGTACGGAGGGGGCTCCGCCGGGGGAGAAAGGTGAAAAAAAAAATAAAGCGAGCCTCTGCTTCCAAAATGAATCCCTGGACGGAGGAGTTCTCCCTCGGGAATGAGTGAGACTTGGCAGGTTTATTGGGTTTATTTTATTTCGGGGGCGCGGGGCGGGGGGGTTATTCCTTGAAGTGGAAATTTAAGGCATTGCCGTGCTCGGCGGTGCGGAGAAACCCCCGGCGGACCAAAAATCCCGTAGGTTTGGTGGAGTGGGTTTGTTGGGGGGATTCTTTCTTTTTTTCCTTTTCCTTTTTTTTTTTTTTTTTTTTTTTTTAAGTCTTTAGTAAATGTGCAAATAAAGAGCCGGGGAAGGAGGAGGAGGAGGAGGCGGCTCGGGTTAGTTTAGTCTTTGTGCTTTCTCGTTTCTCTCGCCCGCTCGTTGCTGGCCACTCTCCGGCGTGTGACTGTGTCCGGCTGGCTGCCGCTACACTGTAGTTCCTCTGAAAATCAGAGAGACGGATCCCCCGGTCCGGAACAATGTCAGTCAGTGGACTTCCAGACCACGCTTCGCCTTCACTTAATCCAGCCACTGGGTAAATCCGTATTGCTTTCAGTGCTCATTTCCCCCCTTAGCATTAAGCCGAAAGCTACGGACCCAGGCAAAGAGCTCCTCTCGCGTACTTTCCCTTATACTCCCAGATATTGAATAGTTTCAAGTACAGTTTCAAGAAAAGCACGGAGGAGGGAGGGGAGGAGGAAAGGGGAAGAGGAGGGGGGGAAAAAACCCACCCAGCCCCTCTTCAGACAGTAATTACAAACGGAGAGTTGCACTTACAAACTTCCAGCATTTTGCCCCCAGAACAGTCCAGCGGCCACTTTTCCTTTGTGTTTTTGTATATTCCATGCCCGGCTCGGCGGGCGGGTGGTTGCCTGTGGGCTGTCGGCGCTGCCGGTGCCGGCGCTGCCCGCGGCCCCTCGGTGCGGCGCGGCGCGGCGCGGCGCGGAGCGGGGCGCTGCGGGGGCGGGGGGCGGGTGTCACCGGCGGAGGGAGAGCGCGGCCGGGGCGATGCGCGGAGCCTCCCAGCGGCCGCCGAGGGGAGTCGGGCTGCCGCCGCCGCTCTCCGGGAGGTATGTGCATGGGAGGAAGCCGAGGAAATCCCCGCTCCCCTCCTCGCTCTGTACCTGAGTGCCGAGCCGGGCGCGCAGCGCAGCGGAGCGGAGCGGCCGCCGAGAAGCGCAGCCTCCCGCGCTCTCCCTCTTCTGCCGGCGGCGAGACCTTCAGGCGAGTACGAGGGAGTGAGTTCTCAAATAAATCACGGCGCTGCGCTCCTCTTACCAGCTGGATTTCTCTGGAACGGACGGTAGAAAAACAAGCGGTGCCTTCTAGGGCGCTCGCATGCACGGGACGAGCGCACGACACGAGGTCAGGCTCGGGATGCGGGAGCTCCGCGCGCTGACAGGAGCTTCTTGGGTGTCCGGGGCAAGTCACGTAGCGCCGGCACTGTGGTTTCTCCCCAGGAAAGCCGCAGCCTTGGTGCTTCTCTCGCCCGGCTCCTCTATTTAGAGCAGGGCAGTTTTAGACTGCGAGATCTGGCCCGTGGAACTGGCCTTGCTGCAACTGGCACTGGCAGCCGTCAGGTTCTGCGTGTTGCTGTAGGTGAGCTGTGAAGGAGGATGCAGAAATAGCTGGGAGCTGGCCGCCTTTATTAAAGCAATATGCTGTTGTACTACAGTGGCTGCATTAGCCAAATTCCCAAATCCCTCTGGGAATAAAAATGGCCCCCCAAGCACGCAGACACACATCCCTGATGGAAATCCTCTAACGTCTTTTTGTACTAAGCTACAGCCCTTGGTACATGGGTGCATCTTCTCATTCAGTTCTGCAATGGGTCGAATCAGAAAAATGCACAATTTCATCACAGCATACCTGAGAGCATTAAGCTGAGGATGAGCTGACGATAACCCTCTCAGGTGGTTTTATTGCCTTCCAAGGTCACGTAAATAAATACTTTGAATGCTAATGATGAAATGACACATTCCTGGAGAACTCCCCAAACTATAAAAGATACACAGCATTGGACATATGGGAAATATGAAAGCCCCTGCTTTCATGACCCCCATCTCTTTCACGTTGCAACAAACCTTCATGTTTGTTGCATGAAGGTTTGCTGCAACATGTGAGTTTCCAGGACCTGGCTCAGTGAGATCCTGAGCCCCCAGCATGTTCAGACTCATGTTTGCCTCTGCAAAGGCTTTGAGTCTTTGCTGAGGGACGAGGTCTGGGGTAGCGGTCTTAGGGATGTGCTACCTTCAGAGGAAGGCATTATTGCTAACAGGAAAAAGAGATTTTTTTTGTTTGTTTGTTTAACCTTGAACAACTGAGGAAGAGTGGGTTATTATTTGATACATAGCAGTTACTTGCATCTGTTGAAAACAATGGGTTGGCACAGCTGGAAAATGAAATTATAATGTTTGTAAAATAATAGACAATGTTACCTTTGCTTCAGGCCTCACTTAGGCTTTTATTTGTTCTTTACCGCTCAATGTTATTGCTGTGTTTAGGAGGGTCAGTCACAGAACACATGTGCAACAGTAACAAACCAATCTCATGGAGAATAAACAGGGGTATTTTAAATGACAGCTTGGCTGGGATTTTCAAAGTGGCTGTGGGAATATGAAATCCATAGTGCTGCTCCGGAAGCTACCAAGGCAGCTAGGATGAGTTCTCTCTCTTACAAGATTTTGTAGAACTCAATTACTGAGCCTTCAAAACAAAGGTTTTCTTTTTTTTTTTTTTTTTCATTTTAACTTGAGAGGTTTAAGATTCACTTTTTTGCCAAACAGCATCTCGCTCGGTCTGTGGTTTGATCTCTCTTTTTCGGGGTGAGAGGCAGCTGGCTGCGGGGCTGCGCTGCGAGTCCCGCTCGCTTAATCCGCAGCAAATGCTGCCCCTGGTGTTTCAGAGCAGGAAATACCCCAAAGCCGTCCCTCGGCTTTACATGTTTTGTCCGGAAGACCCTGGCGAATGCCACCACCCCTGGATACCACCATCGGGTTTGGATAGGTTGTTGTCAGTTTTCTTAAAAGCAAACTGTTCCTAACTTGATCATAACATCCCTTGCGCGTTGTGTTTACAGGCATTCTACTAAACACACACAGGATAAAACGTTTAATGTAACAGGACCTGAACAATGAATTACTTTTTTTCCTTCTGTTGACACTGATTTGGGACCTTTTTACATGATACTGTAATCTCACATGAGCTGTCATGCTTGAGCATTTTTTCTTTGTGAATTCCCTACTGTTGTTGAAAGTCTGAGTTTCCCAAGCTGGCAGCCCCTTCCAGATCAGCAAAGCACTTATTTGTGCTGGGTTCACAGGCAGACATCCCACTGTGGTAATAACTTTACAAAAATTGGAACAAAAAGATTGAGCTGAACCTATGTCACCCAAAATCTTGAGTGCATACCTTATGTTTAGAAATCATGCATCAAATTGCTTCAAGGATGTATTAAACTCCACAGGAATGGCTTAATATCAATCCTGAGGAGGATTTTGCAAACTTGGAGCTTTGAATTTTCAACCATTTCCATTATTTGCTTTTCAGTGAGGGTTCTTGGCTGTTTTGAATGCCTACAGTTACACATACACGTATTTCCCAGGGTATTCCTAGCTAGGCAGGCTCGTATCATGCTGCTTACCTTGCAAATTGCTTAACTTTGAGACAGAGTCTGACTGCACTCAAGTCAGTTTTCTTATCCTTAAATTTTGGGTACAAGGTGCATGCAACTGCAGTTGTTTAAACTGTAAACTAAGCCATCTTGAACACACTGCTTTCGGGGGCTTGTTTGGTTTTGTTTGTTTTGTTTTTATTGTTGGTTTTGTTGTTGTTGTTTGGGTTTGTTTGTTTTGTTTTAAATAAGAATATAATCCCCAGAGCAATCTCAAGAAACTATGATTGCAGCTTATTTAATAAACAACAGGGGAAAACCCCCAAAACTCCATGCCATCACTTACTACCTAGACAAATAACAAAACTCACATAAACTATTCAGGGAAGAGGAATCACTGAAGTGATTATTATCAGGTTCTTTCAATATAATTTTGGTAGATCATATTTTTTACATTCTTTTGTCTAATCTCTAAACGCAGATTAGAACTTGGTATCTCTTTCTTCTCAATGCAGAATCAGAAAGTCATCTTTTTAAAGTCTCTTTTGCGTGTGGTAGGTATTTCTCTTGGAGTGGTATTGTATTTACATGCGCTTCTGTACCACATGTGTACACTAGCACACTCACTCTGTTTATTCAGACAGACTTACAGAAGGATAAAACCAGAAGTCTTTATTTATCCTAATAAAAGTAAACTAGAGGAGCTAAGCATGGGAATTGCCTGCAATTGCCTGCGGAACTGCTAAAAATAGCTCCTTTTTGGAAACAGGAGAAGCCTTCACTGTCGAAAAAGTAACAGTAACAGCTATCTACTGTTAGCAAACTACTTTCTTTCCAAAACCTGAAGGACACAGGGACAAAAATCACTTCTTATCATACTTCCCTGCAAGAACTGGACAGAATGTAGACCAAAAAGGGCCTTCTGTCCCAGAAGTACCTCGTGTTGGTAAGCCTGATCCTGTGCATAAATACCTTGTGTGAACTTCATCATTATCACTGTCTCGAGTTACAGAACTTAAACTAGAGCAGATTATCAAAACATTGCAGGAACTAAAGTAATTTCCAAGTACGATCATTAATCACCCGTGCCAAGTCTAATCACATACTGAGCTCTCTTCATTGTTCCATTAAGACAGGTACTTTATCTTAATTAGAGCTATTGCTTCAAAAATTAACACTAAAGACAATTTAAAATGTCCTATCGGAGCAAACATTTTATTCTCTCACCTCCTAACTCCATTCAGCTTCTCTGATGGGGAAAAAAAAGCATGAAGGACTGCTCAGATTTCTGAGTTCTCCCATCGTTAGATACTTGCACAATTTTTTTCTGCTAGAAATATTCTTACTGAGTAATTCTATATATAGAAAGCCTCAGGGGGTAGAGTCCTCTTTGTGCTTCATGCTGTACAAGCACTAGCATTTACAGACTGACCTGGAAAATTTGATCTAAATTTTTACATATTTACTCTCTAAACAATATTTTCATTTCCTGTGGTGAAGACAAATGTAAACATGATGTAATGACACTTCACATTTGCTGTCTTGCAGAAACATTTCAGGTAAAACAACAGCCACAAAAACCTTATCACTTCCTCCAATCTCAGTGAGGGGAATATCAGAGTTTAAGAGAAACTATACGCACAAACATCATATCAACCCCTGCAAAATCAAATCAAATATCTCTTTCTAACTGAAATAGAAATCAGTGATGTAAATTTGAAGCATTTTCTTAGTCCCACTGGTGATAGTACACATAAGATTAGTAAACCTACGGAAGCACTTTTTAACAAGAAACTTCAGCAGGATACTTTTGGATCTCTGTTAGCAACAGAAAAACATTGTTCTGGAAAAAAAAGTGCCTGCAGGAACAAGTAGTAGATAGCTTACACTTTTTAGGTTAATGGAGAGGAGGTGAGAAACAGGGTCTGGGATATGAAAGAATGAGTAAAAGTCACTGAACAATTTTCAATCAAAATGTATGTATTCCTGAAATATTATCTTTAATCAGCAAGCCAGAATTTCCCAAACTTATTTTTTAATTTGGTAGCAAACAGTTTAAATGTAGCAAAATGAAGGAAAAGGAATAGCGAAGAATTCCTTCAGCTTTGGTAACCAGGGAGACAGATATGAGACATACCAAATCTCAGAATTATATATATCTAACTCACAGTTATGGAGGGAGGTATGGAAGGAATATCTTCAACATAAATTGAAACAATCTCAATCTGTATACTGAGAATTTTCATCTTGGTTTTGTAAATCTTGTATCTGTATGTGGTAAAAAAGAGAACTGATACTATTAGCTCTCCCTAATAGCATATAAACCATTGCCTAACTTCAACTCCTTAAAAAAGTAAAACCAGTTCATTTCTTACAATGAATGCTGGAAAAAGGGTAGTGAATGACAAATCTAAGATGCAGTCTCTGAATAAAAAAACTCAGCAGATGTTCACTGTTAAGCTATACACCTGTTAGCAGTTGCCTTTCCAATCAACCTATTTGTTTCTATGAGAGTGTAAAATCAATGTGGGGATTTCTTATGGACAAATCCATGAAACATCAGGTTTCATTACTTTTGCTTCTGATAGAATAACCTGTTAAAAGAATTCAGAGTGTTAACAGTATATTGCCTTTCACTAGGTTGCCATATTAGCCACAAAAGACTAATAATGTTCATACAGCAATATGTAGGAACAGTTCCTAACTGGATTCAAAACGCTGTGCCCCACATGTTATCTTAGGCTACATCTGGTTCATTTCATATGCAGCACAAAATACAGGACAGAAACATTGAATGATTAGGGTTGGAAGCAACCTTTAGAGATCATAATAGGGACATCTTCTGCTAGACCAGGTTGCTCTGACCCATCCTGACCCGACCTTACACACTTCCAGGAATGGGGCATGCACAGCTTTTCTCAGCAACCTGTGCTAGTGCCTCACCACCATCACAGCAAAGAATTTCTTCCCTACATCCAGCTATACCTACTCTCCTTCAATTTAAAACTCGTTCATTGCCCTGTCACTACAGGCCTTGGTAGAAAAGGCCCTCCCCATCTTTCATGAATGCCCACTTTAAGTACTGAAAGGGTCCAATAAAGTCTCTATGCCTTCTCTTCTCCAGACTGAACAGCCCCAACCCTCTCAGCCTGTCTTCATGGGAGAGGTGCTCCAGCCCTCTGATCAATTTAGTGGCCCTCCTCTAGACTTGCTCCAGCAGGTCTATGTCCTTCCTGTGCTGAGGACCCCAGAGCTGCATGCAGCACTCCAAGGGGGGTCTCACCAGAGTGGAGTAAAGAGGCGAAATCCCCTCCTTTGACCTGCTGGCCAATCTGGTTTTGATGCAGCCCAGGACACGCGTGGCTTTCTGGGCTGCAAACACACATTGCTGACACATGTCCAGTTTTACAGGATGGATGGTATCTTATTTAAACCTTCCTAACTCCTCAAAAATCTACTCTGATCTGGGTCACATGTAATTCTGGTAAGCCATGCATCCTGCTTCTGAGTAACTCCTACTTTCTGTTAAGTTACACTGTAAGAATTCCTGCTTATCTTGCATGGGCACATTAATCCATTCTCTTAGGCTTGCAGTTACTGCAAGTTGCTGCCATTATGTTTGCACAACATAATTTGATGTTTAAAATCTGAGTAAATTGCCCCAGCTGCTTATCAGAGACAGCAATGTGGGCCCACGTATTCATTTAGATGGCTAAGCCAGGCTCAGTCTGTATGACGCCTATAATGTGACTCATCACCTACTCTCTCAAGAGAGGAATGACTACAGTGCTGCAAATGTAGTCAGGACTGCAGAATATTTCCTCTGTTGCCTTGCAACTGTCTATACTGATTCCTCAGAGGAGAAATAGATCTTTGCATTTGGGTTCTGTTTATTGTAACTATCAGTCTAACTGGCTGGACTTACTTGCATATAGTGAGCAATAAGGAAGGTAAGATGCAAGTCATAAGGTCTTGTATAACATAGCCTTACCTTTCCAAACACACCCATTTCAAAAGATCTCAGCATCTCCTACCTCCCTACAATGCAGCTCAATATACATAGGTGGAAGTTTTATTTCACAAGTAAATAGATGTTGATTGAGCTGTTATTTCTAAGAACAGAAGGAAACTTAAAATGATTTACGCAGTAAGGCTGGAGGACTGATTTGGTAAACCTTTGGGTTATTATTGACACAGATGAGAAAAAAAGATACAACACATTATCAAACAGCAGTTTAAAGGCATATATGAATTTAAGTGTATCCTAAAAAGAATCTTGAAGTCCAAGCAGAGGTAAAGTGCGTGGAGATAAAGCAGGCCATTCAAATTTTTATACGATGTCTTTCAAAACGGTATACGATCACTTAATCAATTTTCTCTTCTTGGAAATTGTCTGCCTCATCCATGCAATCTTCAAGATGATTGTATCTCTACAAATGAAATAAAACCTGTATTATTTTATCAATGTTTAATAACTGGGTTACGTAAAGACTGCTTTTTCTTGTTCAACACATTACCAAACATGTCAATAACAATTTAGAAAGAACGATATCTGAAGGCTTTTTAAACGCAATTGAACTTCAAGTTGTCTTAAAATAGTTCATGAAGTGTTCCTGAATAATTCAAAGTACTTCAGTGTAAATAAACAGAATTCTAAAATATTCTGTGCCTTATGTATGTGTTTCCAATCTTTCTAAGTTAAAGCTCGAGTGTTTTGTGCTGCTGCTTTCAAACGAAAGAGGAGTTTGCCCTCCACAGCCTAGAGATCATGCAGCTGTCAAAAAGCTTCATGTCAAAACTTGATACAAACTCTATGTAAGCACAGCAACATACCCGTGTTTGAAAGACTGGGTCAGCAGAAATGGATAAACAGTTAAGCTGAGTTGTATTATACAAGGCAAATAATTCAGAATTGATCAATTAAATCAGACATTTTATCTCAATGTACTTTTATCTGCTTCAAAAAGGACACAGGAAATAATTCAGGCATACCTTCTGAATCCACCCACTCTCTTCCAAGTGGCTGAGAAGTCGTTCTACAGTGTCTTTGACTGGTTCATCCTCAACACCATCCGATCCAGCAACAGAGCTGCAATCCACATACAACTTGTACTTGAAGTGCTTCAAATTGTGATAAACTTTTGTACGATTTGCACACACTGTGCCAACCTTCAAAACCTAGGCCAGAACCAACAAATCATTCTCTCTGATAGAACTGATTATCTTGACAATATATAGAATTGGTAAGTTAGTCTAGTAAGACTTAATCAGTCAGTCCAGGAAATTTTTCTGAATAATGAATTAAACAGAATGATGCTACATGCATAAAATCAGCAAAAAACCATGTAGTTTTCACAGCCACAGCACAGCGATTTTTGAGCAAGCAGTCAGCCAGCAAGTCTACGCAATGGCAGCTTATCAGTATGGTCTTCTTGCAAACACAACCATGTTTATAATTGGTGGTATCTTTCCTATCTCCTGGTGGAACTTTGTTACAAAATCACTAACACTTTAGACAACCACCATATTGTGCAAGCAAGGAAGAAAAATTATTTGTTTACTTTTGCTTAATATGTAAGTACTTCCTAGGATATGAAATACAGTTTTAACATTTTGTAGACTGATTAACATTCAATAAATACACAAGTATACAAATAGACATATGCCTCAAAACATTTATTTAATAAATATGAAGGGGGGGTTGAATTTCATAAAAATAAAATCTGAAAACTGAGGTTTTGTAGAATGCAGACGTTAATCTGTGAGAGGTACAGCTAGGCCACAATGCTGTAGAAATCAAAGCCTCTGCATCTCCCAGTTATCACCAGTTTTATTTCTAGGATTTCCATGCAGAAAAGACAGAATTGTCTTATTCCATAGTTTTCTTTATAGCAGTATTTATAGATAAACAGGTGGTAAATATGCTTGCAACTACATAATCAGAGCATGGATTACAGTAAATCTGTTATCATCTATCAGCACTAACATGAAAATACTGAGTAATACATTGGTTACAGAAATCTTTGACCATCCTAAATCTTCACTAAGAGTAAATGAAATTGGAGATATGGAGAGGGAGAAAGAGTCAATTTTCACCTGCACTTAAGGATATCCTGCATTTCACAAGAGTATGTTTTGTCCCACTTGTAGAACAGTAGGTTCCAGTAGATACAATGGCAAGTCAGAAGAGGATTCTATCCTCTCTAAGTAACCCACAAGTGTACCTATCACTACTCTCACCTGAGGAGACAAAGCTTATTAGGTAAGAAATCCCCAGAAAACCCAGCTGGTTTTTGGGGGTCAGGTTTTCTACACTCAAAAGCAACGTAATTAATACATACATAAAGAAATGCAGCTCCAGATACATACCTAAGAAATTAATTTAGTTTTTCTGAAAAAAAAACACCTCATCAGCTTATCCTTCAAGAACAGCACTGTTTTGGACTGATGTCTTGTCACACTTTTGCAAGTAACAAGCACATAAATGGCTAAAGGTCAGAGTTCTTTGCTTCAGTAACACAAGCTGCAGTTGTACTATTTCACATTACACACACACATATATAAAAGAACCAACTGTGTATAAGCTGAAAAATTATTTCTTCTGAGCCACAACAGTGATACCTTTTATTGCTGCCATTGGCAATAATCTGAATTATCTCAAATTACAAGAAAGTTAAGTTTTAATTGATGCTTACAACCTGCATTTTCAGAGAGCTTTTCCAAATGCACAACCAAATGTTTGCATCTGTGAGCAGCTCCCCAAAACACCTGACCTTAAATATCTGAATATATTTAATTTCTGAAATATATTTTTATATAAAACCAGCAGCTCAGTTGATATCAGCAGACATAATATCACTGAAGTCAAAAGAGACACACTCACTTTTAAGAAATTTTGCTCTGACCTACAGTAAATGGTTATTAACTGCACTGTTAAACATCTTGAGATAAAAAATGCCTATTACTATATTGTAATTCTCTATTATAATGCACATGTTGTACCTATATGCAGCTCCATTTCTACTATTCCCAAAAATGAAAAGCTAAGGCTGCTTAAGCAGTGCTGCAGGTGCTTCTGAAGCACAAGACCTACCAACCAATGCTTGATTTATTCAAATTTCCAGAATTATCATTTCAACTACTGAAACAATCAAGAACTGAGCTGTGGCATTTTGTAGAGCATTTCATAACTTTCCAAGGATCCCAAGCAATGCGGTGTGGCACTTGGAACATTATGTGATGCAAAATAGGATACCATCCTGCATCAAACTGATGGCCCAGTTCTTTCCCCTGTGACAACAGCTAGCAGGATTTTGGGACCCACTAATAATTTCCCTTCAAAAATATCTTGTGGCAATGAGTTTCATAGCTTATATATGTGCGAGGTGTAAAGTATTGCCACATTGGAGAAATGCCAAATGCAAATAGCTAAATATCGTATAAATGCAACTATGCATTGTGTTTTTAAAGCAAGAACGATAGTCTAAAAATAAAGAGCTATTTCAGAATGCAGTGTTGGAAAGAATCTCAGTACTGTACTCATTCTAATTTTTTCCTCTTGCAGTTCTCAGTCCCTCTGTGCTAATGCTTAACTTATCTACTCAAACTGGCTCTATCAGCCAAAGTTGTGTTAAATCACTTTGTATGGAATGCAGGAGCATGGCCTGACAACAGCACAACATGCAGTGACTGAATCCATGTCCTCTAAGCATGTTTATAAACAGAAGTAGAACACCAAAACTGAAGAGAGAAAACAGTTTATAATCCAGGTGACACAGGAGCAAGAAGTGTGGGGGACACCTATACCTGTAAACTGTTTTGATTCCCCTGACTATGAAGAAATGAGAATTGGCACCTACACAGTGAACAATCACTGCAAGGCTAAGCAAAACTAGAACATCTGTTTCTCTTCTCTTTCTACTGGCAAAGCAGAATACTTCAGAGATGAGAGAAAAGGAAAGTTTCGTGCAGAAGAAGGGGGCTGGAGGTCTGTCTTTGTTCTCTCCACATCCACTTTTCTCGAGTATTTTCAAACAAATCTATAGAAGATAGTCCAACTATGTGTTTCCACTCAATCTGATCTGCTGTTGCTGAACTACCTTCTCTATCAATTTTGTGAAATGCCAGTTTGTGAAATGCCAGTTTAAGTAGCTTTGTGAGCCTTTTTTTCCTTTTTACTTTTTCTTCCTTTCTTTTTTTCTCAATTGCCAGGCCTCGTTGATCAATGCACTGTCAGCAGAACTTTAAAGACAACTTGAGAACAGTACTTTTAGCAGTCTAAATGGCAGGTCACCATAAGAACAAAAATGTTGTATTATAAAGACACTATCAAAAATTACTGGAAAGTGCTCAACTACTCTTTCTCCTGACTGTTCTACAGCCCCTGAGCTGTACTGAACATGCACATAGCAGACATGCCCCCAGATGCTACTGTACATAGGGTAAAAAAAGCTCTCATTCTCTACTGTTAAGCTGAAGAGGACAAAAATGAACTAGCAAGTTAGTTCAATATTCAGGATATTTCAAGTTTTTTCCAAAGTGAAAAACAGACAACACTTTACGTAGGACAACATTTGGTCAGCAGTGAGGGAATTGCTACTTTTATTTCCACAGTTATGTTGAAAGTTGAGAAAAGATTAAATTCTTGTGCGAGTTCATTTATTATTTCTGGTTAGGTAAGGCACACACTTCCCATGAAAAACTGAAATTTTTTAAATTAGTGATCTACATTTAGAGGTTTGTATGTAAGAAAGAATGACTGTACTACAGGCTACAGTATCAGTGCTAGGATGACTGCAGAGGACTCACTGTTTTCATGCAATAAACAAGTGACAAAACCTTGCTGGAAGAGCCTAGCTCTCTGGACTATCATGCACATACATATTTTTCAAACCAGAGTATCAGCAACTGCTGCTCAGAAAGGTCTGTAATCTAAGAAAAACTGGCACAGATATTCCTAGCTCCTGCATTACATGCAGAGCCCAATATGATGGCATGGTAATCACACCAACACCCCTCAAATCTCTAAGTTAGAAAATTTGAAAAAATCCAAACCATACAGGCTTCTGCTTCAGTAAGATGTACTCACAGTCTGACAAGAGCTTCACTTTATTTTTGCATAAGAAATCCCATTATACCTCATTATCAAATACACTGAAAAAAAGACTTGTTCTGAAACTTTTCAGAAAATACTGTGAGGAACTTCAGCTGTATTCAGAAATTCTTTTACACTCACAAAACAAAACAAAACAAAACAAAAACACCATCTGCACCTCCTGAAAGGGAAGAAAGGCAAAACTTGGATATCAGCTTGATTAAATATAGCAATATTTTACTCTTGACAAATTGTGTGCTTTGAGTTTTTCATAAGAGATCATGAATTACATTACCTAAGGAGATCATAACAATCATAACATGTAGCTGTAAATTTGAAACGATGATATCTAAATATTAGAAATACCTAGGTTTTTAAGAGTCAAGGTCTTCAAAAGGCTCAGCTGTGAAATAAAATTATATTATGTTATTATTAAATTACTTTAGGTGACTTCTGAAGTTATGTAAATTGACTACCTCATGCAACATCATGTAACAACAGGAAAGATGCCTTTCACTCCAAAAATATAACTTAATTCAAAACGTTCTAGCAGAGACAACTGAGTGAGAAAAAGATGCAAGACTACCTAAAAAAATGTTCTCTAGTTTGGAAAAGTAGTTCTGATAATGCAGTAATGGGGAAAAGGCTCTAATAACATGTAGTGTTGTAGCCAGGAACAAGTCTTCTCAAAAGCAGATCAGCAACTTCAAGCGTCAGTGCAACTGAGATGCCAAGATACTTTGTCCTAAATGAATAGGAATGTGGGAAATAGCAGATGTGCAAAAAAATCTGAAGACTGAAGCAGTAAATTCTGACTAGGTTGCACTTGGACTATTGGGACGATCAGGGCACTGTTTTAGTGTTTGGACCTAGAGCAAAATAGAACTGCTGGAGTGCACATGGATGCTCCAAACTCTAGAGGAATAGTAAGCACAGAATTAGCAAATCTAGTGACCCAATGTAGAACAAACCTTACTTGTCACAAAATAGAAAACATAATCATTCAAGGGAGATGATTGTCCATCATACAGAAAGTTACTTTTACAATGTCTCTGAAAGCTAAATCAATGCAAGATCCCTGCTGGGAAAGTCTTAAGGGCATTATAGGCACACACAAAGGGAAAGGGCTTTCAAGTGATCTACCCTCAATGAAAAAGCATTCTGATATTTAGAATATTTGAAAATATGAGGAGAATGTAATTCTTGATTTAAAGTCTCAGACTCCTGGCATACAAACATAGTATCTTATCAAGATCAAAAAAAAAAAAGTCATAGTATTTCTCTGGTACTTGGTGAATGCCACATATGTGCAGAGCATCAGTCATGTAATTTCTTCATCACTGTTTTCCCTTCTTTTAAGATACACATCTGCTTTGGGATTTTCAATCTTCTATTAATTGTTATCTGACAAAACAAGAAGCTACTTTAGAAATAACTGCATACTCATATTAGTACTTTGGTTAGTGTGTAAATCTTCACATGTGCTGTCAGCCTCCTCAATACAGAGTTTCAGACTGCTTCCCCAAGTACCACAAAAGACAAGCATGCTGAGTAGGTTGCCATGTACCTAGAGTTTCCTTCTTGCCCTGGATGGGACTCTGACTATAAAGATTTGAAGCAGAGAAAAGGGTAGAGGCAAACGTCAATTATGACTTAAGGGAAAGAGTTACCAATGTCTTATGTCTTAGAGCTCTTTATCCTTTATCATGAAGACCAGCTCGTGGCTGGGTACACTTATTAGCACTTACATCTGCTACATCAAGTATTAAGTGGTAAAAGTGGGAAGGAAATATTGCATGGATCATTGTGACGCAGGTAAAAACAAAGATCACAGAAAAAGAACTTGTTTATTTTCTTGATAAAAGCTGGATTTATTTGAGGATACTTTTCATTACCTCTTTCCCAACGTATAAGAAAGAGGGAAGAGGGGCGGTCCAGGCAGAGGGGAATGCCTCCACTCATCTTTTCAAGTTCTATAGGAACTTCCTTCATAATTCCTAGCTAAATCCAAGACTATACTTCAAACTGTAAAATGGTCCTCATATCTAAAAATTAATAGGGTTTAAACAAGGAAATACAATAGCCTAACACTCGACTCTAGCATTATAGACATTGGATGTGTTGATAGGTGAGTTTCTGTAATACTACACAAAACTTTTAAAAATAGAGTGATTGTTTGAAGTTACCTGCTTGTCATTTGACATGAAGTCATCCGCTTTCAAAGTTTTACTATTATAAAGCCGTCCAGAGAGCAACACATTAAACTTACAATGCCGCTTCAATTCACAGGCCTGACAAGACATATTTTTTGGATTTTTCAAGATTATGTGAACATCTGGGTAACAATCCACACGCTCCTGAAAAACAGATTTCAAATAACATTAAATAATCTCTGTAAAATGAATGATTCCTCAAATAGAGTGCTGAGTACTCTGTACTCACAAAAAATTAGTCCAAGAAAAACAAATGAGATTAAAATCTGCGATCTTTCATCATTCAGTTGTGAACATAGACCTCCATCATTTTCCAACACTTCACTCAGTTCACTCAAACTCATGAATTCTTTCTTTCAGCTTCAGACCTAGAGAATGGCTTCTGCATCGTGGCAGAATTTTTCTCACATCTTTTTTTTTTTTTTTTTTAGGGGGTAGGCGTCTAACTACATCAGTTGTTCTCCTTCAAATAAATACACTGTCTCACTGCACTGGCCAGACTCCATTATTACAGTGATTATTAGATCACCACACCTATCACAGTAATACTATTCTAGTAATATGCATATGATGACTCTGTTCCTGTGTAGTGACTTCATTTTTTGTAGTACTAGTAGAAGATTCATGAGCATACTAGTTTATCTTTTTGTGGGAGGAGGAAGAAATTTTGTTATAACATTTATCAAGTCATAAAAAAGTCCTTAAAAAGTCATCTGCTGAAGTTAGCAGGAGAAGCATTCAGGTAGCTGAGAAGAGATTCTGCTCTGCTACCTGAATGTTTATCTGGTTATCAACACATAAAATATTTGATTTGGAGCCCACTTCACTATTCAAAGTAGAATCTACATACCTTGTATCGATCTTTCCAGCGACTTCTAGCGATTAAGTTCTCAAGCCGAGGCTGAATGAAGCGGTTATCCAAATAATGAAGTGAGAGCAACATATCTTGTGCATACTTCTTTTGTCTTGTTCCATCTGGTCAGTGAGAATCATTACTAATTTGCTGACCACGCTTTGTTGTACAAGTTTCTTGAGATAAAATTTGCAAGGACACAGTGCTTCTGCATACTAAAAACTATGAATGATTTTAATAAATTATTACTCAATATATTTGCTACTGTTACCCATAAAAGTGATCCATGCATCTTTGATAAAGGGATGTATTTAATTATTTTAAAAGTGGTACATGACTAAACTCCACAATCAAGGTTAAAGTGAAAAGCTGTCATCCCAAATAGAGATCCATTGATTCAATCCAATTTAAAAGAATGGGAAAGGAAGAAGGAGGGGAGAAATGTCTTGCTTTTTGTCTAATCTATTTAAGTTGTTCTTAATGCATAAGGGGGGTGGTTGCAATCCATGAAAACAAACTGCTCTGAGCTACTTCAGAGCACAAATTTTGCCAACTCTCTTTGTGACTTGCAAAGAGCACAGAGAAACTGACCTTTACGCTCCACCATCCCAGTCAGATGCCTTGAGTTAGGCAGCATAAGTACTTCCAAATACTTAACTCAAGCAAAAATAAATGAACAAGCATGAGGATGAGTAAAACTACAACTGTTCCACTACTATTTCCCAAATACACCCTGGACCCCAGGAATTAAATAGGACTTCCATAGGTGCAGGCCAATGCTTACTATCCTGGAACTTCAGCATGTATGGACATACAACTTAACACAGCTACCTTCTCATGTCTTCTGGCAATACTGTTACCAAAAACCCCACCAGAACTGAGAAGGACTGATGTCTGTCTATCTAGCCTCTTATATAAAACCATCAATTGTCATAGATTTCATAATCGCAATTAACTGTTTTTCCCTATTCACTTTACACACACACATTTACAGTATAAGTATGTGCTAGACCATAAAAAAATCCCTCTCAATAAAAAGCAAGTCTGAACTCTAACACTATAGTAGCTACTCTTGATTCGAGCTAATGAAGACATTCGCTTTCCTTAACTCATAAAAATTAATTCTATGTTACAGAAATACTTTTTTGTAATGCTAGGCTATGTTCATACTATTCAGTGTTCACGTACGACCTCCAGCTCCCCTGCAGAGCTCACCTACTTCCGGCACCTTGGTAGTAAATTGCTACATTGTGTAGAGTAGATACCACTTGGAATAGAAGGAAGCTATTACAACATTAATCTGGGGAAGTTCACTTATTACTTTTCATAAGCTTGTTTTCACTTGGTGAAACAAAACAAACCAAACACCTGAAGAACTAGCAATGGTAGATAAAAGACACTTTTAACTCCAAGAATATACAACCTTTATTCTGAGGTCTGTGGTATACTTCAGTTTCTCTGTTTCCTCTTAGTTCTGATAACACCAAAATTTCCTCTCTTTGGCACTTCACTGACTCTTCCACAGTCTGACACTGACAGTCCTCTCCTTAATCCCATCTTTACAGTGTTTATGAAACTACATGTGAGGTTGTCATTCAGCCCCACTAGGACAAATGCCAAAAAGCACTTTCCCAGAAAGAACAAGACAAGAAGTACTGACTGATGCTGAACCTTATTTACCTGAAAGCACAAATGTTAAAAAAAAAAGGAAAGGAAAAAATCAGATATGGAGTCACTGCCATAGCTAAAATTATTTATTACCACATTCCTCAGAAAAAAAACATGGAGCACAAAAGATTTTGACAAATCAGCAGACCTTGCACTGTTTTCATTGACATATCTGCTTTGAAACTAATTTTGCTTTCATGCTGGAAAGGTTACTACTGATCAGTAACACAAAAAGATTTCCCTTCATCTCAAGAAGGTATTTTAAGCCTTCTAGGCTAAAAAGAATTAAGTCTACACGTTTTTCCAAGATTAGTCTATCCTCACCTCCCCTGCCAAAGTTACAGTGCAGGAAAACCCCATGCAGATTTCAGGACTCAGCTCTATAATCAGGAGAAACACCCCTCCCTAGATTAAATGGCTTTGTATAACTTTGAATGCAGTATTATATTATGTGATTTACTTACCATATAATGAGCTCAGAAAAGTGTCATCAATTGCATTTATGAGGAAAGCCTTTACTATTCTTTTGAAGTGCACATAATGATCACAGCGAGGTACTTGGAAGAAAGCAGTATCATCAGAATTTACCCAAAAAAGGGAAAAAAACAGAAAAAAAAGAAAGCAATATTAGAAGTCCTGTAAGAAGAAATCTTTTTTACATAACTATGAATTTAGAATTTCAAAGTTATTTAAATATGGATTTAGAAATAATTGCAAGGTACAACATCTACACCCGTAAGATCCTGCCTTTAAATTGTACTTCTTATCCCAATTATCCTACACAGTTTTAGCACCCTCAAGTCACATGTGCCTTCAGCAAGAAGAGCGCACAGAAAGAGCTACAAACACTAAAAGAAGTAAATACTTTGTTCTATGAATAGCAGAAAAGAATGCAAAACAGAGAAGACCAGGCTTATGTTGTGGATTTTTGGTTGTTTTGGGGGGGGTTGTTGTTGTTGTTCTGGTTTTGTTTATTTTTTCTATCTTTCTTTCAAATACACACCATTCTGCTGAAGTCTTCATTGGGGAAGAAATACCACAAATGCTTTTGATCACCTACACTAGCATGGACTGCCCAGTCAGTACATACCTGCTTCTGAACAACAAAATACAGAAGAAAATAGCTCATATAAAGTTCTGTTTTAAATGTCTCTGCTCCATCCAGAAATCGGTTCTCATAAAAGAACAACTCGAAGAGTTTTCTTGCTCTGTGCAGTTTGACCAATCTTGGCCAATGAAGTAAGAAACCTCTCTAGACCTCTGCTCCCAAGTCTCACCACCACAGAATAAAAATACATTAAAAAAAAAAAATCCCAAGCCCCACACTCTCAAAGTCATGGCAATTTGGACAGAATTAACATAGCTGCTCTTAGCATATATCACAAGATCACAGGATGGAGGATGATGCTTTCAGGTCTCCACAGGAATGACTGTGGCATCAGCAGCCTACTTCATCCTAAATCAAACTACCTTAAAAAGTTCTGTGCAATAAAATTTCCCTTCCTTCCCTCTCTTAAATTAAGATACTGAAAGACTGCAGAAGTTTACTGTGGAAATCAGACTGTTTCCACAATAAATTGAAGACTTTAGGAATCTGCTTTCAAACTATCATATCTTATTACTTAGCATTTGTATTTAGCCCATTAATCTTTATAACAGTACTACAAACAAGTTATACATAGAGAATTACCACTAATTTTGATCTTACATTGTGGGACGTAGTATGACAGCAACTCGCTACTTGACATATTTAGTTGCTTTTGTTGCAGCTGATTTTCACTCTTTACGTGCTCTGTGTTGTTATCATCATCATTATCATCATCTTCATCTTCCTCTACTATAAAATCTTCCATGCTGTCACTGTCAGTTTCACTACCTTCTGTTGGTGTGAGGGGCAAGTGACAGAGCGGTTCCTCTTCTATTTCTGCTTCACTATTAGAATCCTAATTAAATTTTAAAAGGTACTTCAAACAAGAATTTTCAGTATTTGCACTGATAAGATACTACATATACTAGCTAAGATTTTTGACCATTTCATTACACTATTTGTTCAATTAAGAAGCAGGCACACATTCCCAAAAAATACATCATTCTGTACTAGACAACAATTACTTTCAGATTAAATTAGCCATCTCCAAGTACCTCTCTTCAGTCTATTTGTAGGAATTAAGCTAACATGAGATCTCCAAGTTACTTTACCAGGTATTCTGCTTCCTGATAAAAAGCATTTGACATCTTTTCAGCAGTCACCATTGTTATCTAGTTAATGTGACTATTAAAATGTGACAGAACTACTGATTTGTCATGCATTCAAACCCAAAAACAATCCCACTGATTTATATCTATTAGTCTTTGCCTTTCCTCACATTAAGTATTTTCTCCAGTTAAATTTCAAAGATAAAACCCAGACCTCCCAATTTGCACTGCTGCAAGATCTCCGAGTTGCACTTTTTCTTGCAAGTTCTTTCAGTTTTGCAAACACTTTCTGTTTCCTAGTCGAAACATTCTCTGTAGGGCACGCTTTATCAGGTTGCTGTTCTTCGGAACTGTCATCCTCATCCATTATACAGCGGCGTTTAGCAAAGACTTTTCTAACCAGTATGTCACTGTCCTGACTTTCATCACTGTCATACAGGACAGAGGTGTTCGACCTCTTACGCTTCCCAGGCACAATGCACTCATCCTCCCCATCATCTGTTCCTTCCGTATTGTGGCCTTTTTCCTCCTGATCTGAAAAGCTGCTCTTCATACAAGTTTCATCCTTTTCATCTATTTCACTTTCTGATGTGGTAGGCTCCTCCTCCTCAGAGGTAGCTGAGGATTCGTCACTGCTGTCAAATACTATGAGTTCCCTTTTAGTACGCCTCCAATCGACCCGGGATTTGGACAGCTCTCTTCCTGCTGCCTTACTTCTTGTTTCGTATCTTCTGACGGGCGCTTTTATCTCCATTGGGAGGCTGTGGCAACACACCAAAACACAAACCGGTAAAACAATGCACTTAATACATTATGCCATTAAAAAAAAAAAAAAAAAAAGAGTACATAGGCGTACATATTTTGTTACATACACTTATGACTTGACAGCACCATTCATTAAGAGACACGCGTGGAAACCAGCACCAAACAAAGCTAAGCCTGCACAGTAACTTCTGGGGGGGAATACACCTTACTGAAAACATGCAAAGGAGCAGAAGCAGCCCGCGCCCAGCGCCGCTTCTGGACAAACTGAAGAACTCAGGTCAGGTCTGAATGCAGCTACCGGTCCCACCGTCCTCTCCCAACGCCGGAAGCCTCCAGGTCCGTTCTGGACCCGCTCTGACGGGACGGGACCGCTCGCTCGGGACCAGCGCCTTCAGGCCCCAACTGCGCAGCGCCCCGACCCTACACCTCCTGCCCCTTACCCTTACCCTGCCCGGCCCGCAGCAAGGCCTGAGGGGACCCGGCTGCACAGAGCGGGACAGGACGGGGACAGGGACGGGGCAGGCCGGGCCGTTACCGCGCGCCCGTTACCGCTCCCCGTCACCGTTTCCCGCCGCCCGCGCCCCGCTCGGCAGCTGAGCGGAGGCTCCGCCCCCCTCCGGCGGCGCCGCGCACCGCGATTGGCCACCGCCCCCTGTCACTCAGCCTGCCGCTATGTTTACGGAAGTGCGGTCAGGCCGCGCCGGGGGTTGGTGTGTAGTGGTTGGGGAGGTGGAAGTGACGGGTTCGAGTCCCGCCTCGGCAGGTCTCGAGCAACTCTGTCGTGTGGTAGTTTGGTTTTTTTTGTCCGGCCTACATGCGTTCCTGAGGAAAATCTGTGCGGGCTTGTGAAGTACGGCACCTCCCCAAAGGGGTTGACAGGGACCACCGCTGGTGTGGTCCGAGGCGCTCAGCTTCTCTGCAGCCCTGGGAACAAACTCGGCGGATTAATGAGGAGCGGCTGAGGGAGTTGGGGATGTTTAGCCTGGAGAAAAGGAGGCTTGGAGGGACCTTATCGCTCCCCACAACTGCCTGAAAGGAGCTCGTATCCCGGTGGGTGTCGGTCTCTTCTCCCAGGCAACGAGTGACTGGCCAAGAGGAAATGGCCTGAAGTTGTGCCAGGGGAGGTTTAGATTGGATCCTAGGAAGTATTTCTTCACTGAAAGGGTTGTCAAGCATTAGAACAGGCTGCCCAGGGAAGTGACTGAGTCATCATCCGTAGAAGTGTTCAAAAAAACCGCGTGAATATGGCACTTGAGGATATGGTTTAGTGGTGAATAGGGTGGTGGTACTGGGCTGATGGTTGGGCTTGATGATCTTACAGGTCTTCTCCAAACTTAATGATTCAGTGATTCCGTGAATAATGAGCTTCTGCTGTTGTTCTGCGTAAGATGTCTGTTGAGTAGGATGCTGGATTCTGTTCAGAGCTAATATGATTACAAATACATTTTAATAACAGGATTCATGTCTTAAATTTGCTTTGCTTGGTCTGTGGCAGAAAACTGCTGCTACCTTGGAATTCATTCTGCTGACATTTTCTGTACAGTTTTAGCAAGATCTTGAAATCGTTTCCATGTATTCCTTAAAAAATAGCTGGCAACAAAACTGCAAGGAGAGGAAATCCTGGAAATGAAACACAATTATTTCTCATCTTATTTGCATAGCACTGCTATGACATTGACATGGCAAAGAGGTGTTATATACACGGTAGGTTGAATTTCCAACAAAATGTTTATATTGCAAGGATTATCATGATTATAATTCAAGGATTATATTGCATTAACGGATTTATAGTCCTGGGCTGACATTTGTTTTAACTGCTTTAAATTTAAATTCCGTACGTGAATTTTCAAATAAATAAAAGGATCAGAGTTTTCCCATTATTTAATATCTCCTCCGAAGTGTGGTGGAAGTTAACATTTCAGGGTACTGCTCTTCATCGCGCGTCTTGCTTCCAACGTCGCCACCTTGTGACAAAAGGGGTGAAGGAAACCTAGTAGTTTTACGCGTGTAGTACACGAAATAAGGTAGCTAGAATGAAAATATTGTATGTAACTGAAAAAAATGTATAGTAAATAAATTTTTTTACTTGAATGACATGAAGAGTCTTAGTTATGAATACTGGCTTCTGAAGGACAGCAAAGAAGTTTTTATTATTCACAGTGCTGAAAGATCTTACATCCTGACTTTTGGGATGATTTTTCAGAGGAGTCTACAGCATGAGGTCATGTGTGTCCTTAGATTTCAGTTGCAGACTTCCAGTCAAGAGATACGCAGTTTTCCAAACAGACCAGTTATCCTCAAAGCTCCTCTCTAAATTTCTTAATATTTTGCCTACACATTAACGAAACTCATTCATCACATAAAAAATAAACTCAGTTGATTTTCTTGTGTACCAAAGCCTTTTTGTGGAGCTTGTGCAATCACTGTGCCACGTGATGGTGATAGCATCGCGCCAGCACTGAGTTTTCTATTTTACTAGGGTATCCCAATCTCCTATGATTTTAGATAACAGAGAAATTAATATGTTGGAAACTTTGTTTTGAGTAGCAGCCCTCACTAGCCCCTTCTGTTCCTGGCTGCTTTAGCTGCTGAGTATTTGCCATACTGCTTTCCAACTGATCTGTTAGTTGTCTGGCTGTTGCTATGTTCACACTGCAGTTTCTCTGAAGCTTGAGCTCTTCTGTGGTTCAGTAATGTACAGGATTATATGAACATTCCTTCCATAAAACAGACCCTTCCTGCTTGGGGTATTCTCCTTTCCCTAAGGTAAGCAATGGGAAGCTCAGAGCCCACAGTTCCCAGGGACTGTTTCCTGCAGCAGTGCAGCCTTTGCAAACACTCTGTGACTTCCAGGCATATTGAGCATTAGGCTGGCTCATGCCCAAATAGTAGTGCTGAATTTACCCCAGCTGGAAAAAAAGAAAAAAAAAAAAACTAAACCAAACAAAACAATGCAAAAAGCTCATTCTAATTTTTAAACTTACGAGGAGGTCTAGGCCTGTCTGGAACTGGCACAGCATGAAGGTGGCTCTCGCTCTCAGACAGATTGCAACAACTCAACAGCTCGTTAGAGCAGAAATGGCAAGTCACCTCTGAGTTCACCAATAAGTGGTTTAGCCAACAGAAGCCATGACAATGAGCTTTAATGCTTTCAAAATAAATTTTCAGCATTGCAGTTCCTTAGAAGGGACTTTTTACTGGTCACCAGATTATGTCACCAGAGACTCCCCATCCCCTACACCAAACATGCTGCTCATGTCCATTGATGTCATGCATTAAGTAGAGACATAAATTAACCACAAAGTAACAGTTTTATCACCAGAAAGAGCTGCTGGGACTCATAGGGAGGCCCCCAAGTAAGACTATGCCTGAAGTGTAGAAATTGAATACAGGTTATCTTTTTTAATTTATGTCTGTCTCTTATTTTTTCTTTCTGTCTTTGTTGAACACAACCTTCTACATGGTATATGAGGAGAGTATTAACAGGGGACTTGTTATCTTGCCTTTCTCTGCCTCCTATTTCTCATCGATGGAAGACCATTTCCCTAATTTTATGGGGAATCCCTGCAAATGATAAGCCTAGCCAGAAGCCCTGGGAGCTGCTGGCTGACTTTGACATGATTCTTGTCATTTTTTTTGGCTATTGCTCTGTAGTCAGTAGCAACAGAGAATAGTTATAATTTTTTAACAGAAAGTATTTTAAGATTCTATTTCAATGCCTATTTTAGAGAATGTACATCTCCATTTAGAAGAAAAATGTTTCAAAAAAATTTAAAAATTTTTCTGGAGCATAGAGTAATTCTAAATACTCTAGTAATTTAGAGTATTCAAATAGTAATTTTGATATTACTATTAGAATAGTAATTCTAAATACCTACCCTCCTCAGCCCCTTTTGCTGAAAGTATTTAACAAATGTTAGTATGTGTTTAACACAGAGTGTTTGTTACAACTTTTCTCAGAGACTGGAATTCATTTCTGCACAGAAGCCTTTTTAAGGAATTAAATGGAGTTTGTGAGATCCTTAACCCTGATTCTGGCTCTTTGTGTAGTGTTGAATTTCATAGAAAGAGTGAGTTTCAGACAAAAGAGACCAATGGAGCTAACATTTAATCTCTTTTTGAAACACTGAGGGTTTTCTGGTCTTGGGAGATTCTGAAATGATGTTCCATATACAAAAGTTTTCTTTGTGTGTCTTATAGGCTGGTTCACAATTGCTAGATGACTTGCGTGTTTATTTTGTCAGCAGTGCCTTTGTGAGTTCTTGTTGTCCCTGCTATTTGAAAGCCCTAGTAATTGATAAGATATGTAGTTTATCTTGCCACTTGTGTGTGAGGTTAAAATCTTTTATCTTCAGTACCTGGAGTATATACAATCTAATAGTAGGATGGTACAAGGCTGAATGTTAAGGTTCATTATCACTATTTGAAGATCACCTGTATTTCGATCCAGTTCCACTCCAGTAAAACTCAGTTTATTCTACTTTCACTGCCATAAGATATCAAAAATACCTTGATCTTTCAAAGTTACGGAGTGTGAATTTTATCCTTCTGTGTTGAAGTAAGAGACTGAGGAGTAAATAGGATTTGATTTTTGTCTGGTGCTGTTATAAGGCTGAGGCATTCCTACATGATCCTGGAAAGGTTCTGTTTGATGTGCTAAGTTTTGAGCAAGAGTCATGCAAGGAATACTTGCTAGCATCCAGCAGAACTGTGTAATGAAGGTCAGGATTTTTGTACATTGAGGGGAGTGGTATTTTATCCTACTTTCAGAGTTTTTAACCTTAATTTTGATATTTCTTGAAGAATTTATTTTTATCTTTTAGGATGGTTTCTTTTCTCTTTGTCACAAACCATATAAAATCCCTGGGCAGCAGTTGTCTAGCTGGACAATCTTTTGCCAGGAGGAATGTGATGAGTCATGATGTGTGACCAGAATAGCTATGCTGTGAAAATTGCCAAGAGTAGATGGAGTTGCACCCATAAAACTGTGCATAGGTACTCTAATATATTTGATCTGGGACAGCAGAAACAAGGGGTGCTTAGAATGAAGTGTAGTGTCAAAAGTGTTTATCTGCTTGTTAGTGCATCTGCAGTAACTTCTTACTATGATAATATACCGGAGTCTCTATACCTGCAAAGCCTTTCAGCTTTAACTTTGTTTTCGGCCTGGCTTGATTAACAGCTATTAAAAGCTTTCTTTTGTGTATTTCCTTGCATTATATATGTAAAATAAGCATTTAAACTATAATGAAGAGACCACCTGATTGGTTAACCTAACCTAACCTAACCTGTACTACAAAGAGAATACCAAAGTATATACAAATAAACTGACATCCCTAAACATAATTGCTTTTTGCGACATTTAGTTCTTATTTTATTGAGGGAATGAAAGCGAGGTAACCCTATTGTGAAGAGGTGCAATTTACATATTCTATCTGTA